AAATAGAAATTTTTTACAAAAACTAACTTTTTCAACTTAATTTTTGAAAATGTTCCGGGAATACTGCGTCCTTTAAACATATATCAAATTAAAGCTTATTTTATGTAATATAAAATGAAAAAAAAATTTTTCCCGACGACCTATCACAAATGGCTACCGTATTCAAAAATATGCTATTTTTCTATTAAAATTCTAGGTTTTGTATTTTATTTTTTTTTAAATATCTTATTAGGAGAATATATCGACTTTCATGAATACTATATAATTTAATTGACATAGAATAAAGTTCATAAGACATAAGAAATTTAACTTATTAAATTTTTTTTACTTTTTTAAAGTCGAAAAAGTAATTTTTAAATTTGAGTTAGCTTAAATAGCCAATTTTATAGCTTCGATGTGAATTTTTTATGTGTAAATACTAATTTTTAATAATATTAAAACTTAGAAGTGATAGAAAAAGTCTAATTGCAGATTTGAAAACATCGCGAAAAGTTGATTTAGAATGGTATATTTTTGTTACTGATGAAAGTTTCTTGAAGTTTAGTGCATTTATTTATAGTAACAAACAGTTTTTATTGAAATTTATTGTATCAAACCCTTTATATTTATATACACGTAAAAATAAAGCAAAATATAACTTCTTTATTATTTTTATAATTTCTCCGTTTAAATTACAATATTAAATTATTGAATATCAATTTCATACTAAATTTAATAATTATAATTAGTATTTATTCATATATTATATTTTAAAATCAAAGAACTACTAATCAGGATATAATTAAAGAAATAAGAGTTGATNTTAGGATGTAATCAAAGAAATAAGAGTTGATGTTGCTTTTGGAATAATCCACCAATTTCTCTAAATGAAACACTATCTACAGATTTGCATCGAAGCGTTTCTTATGATAGTGATTTTAATCACTGTCAAATATCATCTGTATTTGTCTCATCTATGCTTTGTCTACACTGTGCCTCGACCCCACTGTGCTACCGTTTTTTTACTTAAAATTGACATAACTTTTTTTTATAGATGCTTGATGTCTTTATCTATCATTTGGTATATTTTTTTTTTATATCTGACCCTTTACCTGCCCATAGGGGGGATTTAAAATGACAAATTTTTCACAAAAAATTAATTTTTTCAATTTGACTTTTGAAAATGTTCCGGAAAGTCTGACACTTTTATATATATATTAAATTAAAGCTAATGTAATGTACTTTATTATGAAAAAAAAAAAATTTTGGACTTTATTTTATCTTCACGGTGAAAATAACTACCAAATGCTAGTTTTGTGTGAAAATTTTCGATTTTGCATTTTACATTTTTAACTTTATTAGGCTATAACTATTTGAAAAATGTATGGATCAATACAATTTTTTCATGAAAAGTAGTATTTATATACATCTTTCATTCGACATACTGTTTTTTTTTAATCGGACCATTTCCCTATGTACGAGGGGGGTTCAAAACATAAAAATGCATATAGAAAGTAGAACTTTTTCAACGTAACTTTTGAAAGTGTTCCGGAAGGTCTGACACTTTTATATATATCTTAAATTAAAGCTAATGTAATATACTTTATTATGGTAAAAAAAAATTTCGGGGTTTATTTTTTCTTCATGGTAAAAATGGCTACCAAATGCTATTATTGTGTGAAAATTCTGGATTTTATTTTTTACATTTTTAACTTTATAATGCTATAACTTATTGAAAAGTGTATGGATCAACATAATTTTTTTATGAGAAATAATATTTTTTAATAATCCCTTTTTTATTCGACATACTTTATCTTAATCAGGATATTAATTTGGAACTAGCAGATCATGTAGCTTTTGGAATAATCTGCCAATTTTTTAAAATTAAACACTATATAAAGATTTGCATCGAAGCGTTTTTTTGGTAGTGATTTTAATCACTGTCAGATATTATTTTACTTGATTCAACTATGTCACGTCACCACTGTGCCGTTACCCCCCTGTGCTGGGTTTTTTTATGTTGTTTATGATAAGTGAATCATCTTCGATATATACAATATAATGCGGTATAGTTTGAAGCTGAGGAGTAGGTTAGAAAATATTATTACATATATCTTTATGGCACCTTTCTACGAAAAATAAAATTCTCAGTATTATTTTTATTTTCCGATTAATTAAGTGGTGCGTGATAAATTAATTACTCTATATACATATATTAAGAAAAATTGAATGGTTAAAATATAAGATAAATCTATCACCTTGTACGTAATAATAAAATAAATCTAGAATATATATTATGTATTCTAAATATCATTAGGTAAAAATGTCAAACAAAAAACAGGAATAAAAGAACTCATAGGAAGTAAAGGAAACATTAAAGCTCTGTTGAAACTGAAAACTGTCAGAAATGATTTCAATTTAAGTTGTCAGTAATCATGCTCAATTCATTGGTATATATTATATTAAATAAGTAAAAAAAAATTGTTTGTAAATACAAAAGCTTTAATTTATGATCTATTTAATACATATATCACTTATATTATAAGTGTCAGTATTTCCAGAACACTTTCAAAAATTAAGTTGAAAAACTTGTCATTTTGAATCCCCCCTGTGGGCAAATAAAGGGTCAGATTTATAAAAAAATGATTGGTAAATCTCGTATCTATATAAAAAATTATGTTGATATGGTCATTTGTAAAAAAGTTATGATAGTTTTAAGTAAAAAAAACCGGCACAGTAGGGTCATGGCATATATTAATTAATTAATTACATAAAATATTTAATATAAAGTACTAATTTTTTTTTTAACTGCAAAAAATTTTTACTCTCAAATGTTCTAAAGAATACGAATATTTTAGTGTTAACGGATTAACACGTTTAATATATCATTTGAATTTCGATTTAAATTTTAAACTTGAATTTATGTAATTAATGTGCAGCAAACTAAGATTTATTTAGGGTCAAAAATTATAATTTTTCATAAATTATCTTAAAAAAGCGGTAGCACAGTGCGGTCGCGGCACAGTAAGGACGTGACATAGTTGGATATTTCATAAAAAACGCTTCGATGCAAATCTGTAGATAGTATTTAATACACGAGATGAAGAAATTATAAGTAAAATAAGTGACATTGAATACATTAGAGACATTTACGAAGCCCTAAAAACTAAATTAAAAAACACTTTGTTGTAATATGCCCAATACTTTGCATTACGCATCTTACATTTATCAATGAAAGAATTGTAATCTGTATTTTGTATTAATTGTATACAAACAAATAATTTATTTATCTGTTATAACATTTACACTGTTGGACGCTAGCTATAATACATGTATGTACATGTTAAATTGATCACTGTATACTATTCATCTCATCATTAAATAATAATCATGCTATGTTAAATTTAATAAAATAAACTGAAAATCATTAAAAGTGCTATCGACAATGTTCCAAGATGGTGATAATTAAAAATAATATAAATAGGCTTAGTTCTACTAGCATATCCGCGAGCGAGCCACCTTGAATTCAATAAAAATTTAAAATTCTCTTTTCCAATTTATTTCTCTCCACTAGTTACCACGTGTTTCATCGGTACATTTTAATGCGATATTGAAATATAATTATTTTGCTTTGTGAATTCATTTATGTATAGAAAAAGAAACATAGAACTTTCGTGTGTACGAATCACCTTAATTCAATAAATACTTTCGTACTTAATATTTTGACTATCTTTACGCAAGCAATCTAAAAGAGGTAAATGAATTCACATTAACGCAACTATTAATAATTTATAATCTAAGTAAAGAATAAAACATCAATAAATCATACTTTTATATTAATTTTCAAACTTGAATTAATTATGACTGACTACTAGTTCGTACCTTATACATAATCACACTACATGATATTTGTGAGATGGCTACCAGTTAGATGTTCTTATCAGTTAGGGGTATTTATAATAACTCTCTAACAGAAACTTTAATCATTTTTTTTTATACCTACATGTCTTTATTGTTCCAAACCATTAACTCCACAACCCCGATAGAACCTCATTGCTCACCAATTGATCAAACTCCCAAATATCCCAGTTTGGGTCAAAAATTCTAGACAAAATTATAGCCATACTAGTTTTATCATTACAATTTTAAGTCAATTTGTATTAGTTAACAAAAGTTATCTTTATCAAAAAAACTTGCCTAAAGATATATAAAAACAAATTTGCAACCACATTATTATGGTTATAAGTTTACCCAACCATACTCAAGTAGTATTAGAGGTATTACCAAGTAAATCAACATTAGAAAAATTAGTAGAAATGGCTGATAGCATAGTACAAAAAATAAAGTACAGAAACAACACACAACTATGATTAAGAATAAAATGTTATTATTTTTAATAAAAAAATAGATTTTAATCATTTTAAATAGAATTAAAATGTTTTACACATGATTTTTCTTAATTATTTTTTTATATATTTAAAAAAAATTTCAAACTCGATTTATTCAATTAAAAAAAAAAAATGCATATCATAAATACGCAGGAAGATATATGGTACAATATCATGCTCAATAGTGGATAATACTATAGAATACATAATATTTTTAGTAAAATTTTACTAATTTGTTAATTATATTGGTTATTTAATTTTATTTAAATTTTTTATTTTGTTTAATAATGTTTTTTTTTATTTTAGCTTAAATGCTAATCTGAGAAGGTACTAATTAATTTTACTAGGTTGTTAACATTTTATTTTTATTTTTTCTGACTGTCACTATTCTTTCACAGATATCATTGGACCGATTTTTTTCAACAATACGTCAAAAATTGAATCTAGTTAATGATATCTTACTCAAAAATTCAACATTTTCATCATGATCCCCATAAATAATGGAAATCTCCAAAATATTTAAGATCTTTAAAATTAGTAAATTTTGACTTTTAATTTTAAACATTTTTTACTTAAAAAAAAATGATTGCCTTGTTTAAACATGTTATTTTTGTGTTGAAATGTTCAATGATCGATTTTATTTTTTTAACTTGAAATTGCTATATTTTTTTTAAAAATGTGTGGGTCAATTCAATTTTTTTTTATAAATACAGTAAAACTCGCTTTAGACGCTCTCGCTTAAGACGCTTTCTCGCATAAGACGCTGTTTTTTGTAGGTCTTTAGACATTTCCTATACTAGTCAATGTAAAAACCACCTGTTAAGACGCTCAGTTTTTCTCTGTCTAATCGGGTAAAACGCTCTTTTGTTCAGCATATTACGATAAATTTTAGTAGTTTTGTGAAATAAAAATAGAATTGTTAGTATTATACGTGTTCTTATCATTTTATTTTATCGCTATACCTATTTTATCATTACTTATTATAACAGTTTTACTGTATTTCATCGTATTATGAGATTTAGTAAGTGCTGTTCGTTTGCATGTGTATAACCGTCATTTCGTTATGGCTAGTGGTATAAAACGTAAAGCGTTATCGATTTCGGACAAACTTAACATTTTGAAGAAGTACGATGAAGGATTGGTTGACAAAAGAAAACAAAAGGATATTGCTAATGAACTGGGGATACCTCCTTCTACTTTAAGAACTTTATTGAAAAACAGACATGAAATAGAACAAAGTAGCATGTTAGGTGGCAGCAAACGACAAAAATTAAAACACGGGAAGTATGAAAAGTTGGAAAATGTTTTATTGGAGTAGTTTCAACAAGCTCGCGTTTAAATTATCCAATAAATGGAGGTGTAATCACGGAAAAGGCAATGGAGATTGCCGCACGACTTAACTTAACCGAATTTAGTCGATCGACTGTTTGGCTGGATAGATTTCGGAGTAGGCATGGCATTGTGTACCGGCAAATTTCAGGTGAGGCTGAATCTATTAATAATGATGATATAGCTTTATGGAAAAATAACGTGTTGCCTTCATTACTGCGTGATTATGTTCCTGACGATGTATACAACGCTGATGAATTCGGATTATTTTTTAAGCTTATGCCAGATAAGCCTTTAGTTTTTAAAAATGAGACATGCCATGGTGGAAAGTTGAGCAAGGAACGTCTCACGGTTTTAGTATGTACAAATTCTACCGGCACCCATAAATTGAAGTTGGTCGTCTTTGGAAAAAGTAGGTCTCCTCGCTGTTTCAAAAATGTTCGTACGTTCCCATGTGAATACCTTGCTCAAAATCGTGCTTAGATGACAGGAACACTATTCATGAACTGGATTCAACAGCTAGATGCACTTTTCGGTAAACAAAAGAGAAAATTATTCTATTCGTCGACAACTGTCCGGCTCACCCTAAAGATATCCCCACTATCAATATAAAATTTGTTTTCTTTCCACCAAATACTACATCTAAGTTACAACCCCTAGATCAAGGTATCATTAAAGTGATAAAACAAAAGAACCGAAAAAAGTTAGTTCAGTGGTACTTGAGAGACATGGAGAGTACCGACCAAATTTCAACTAAAGTTAATGTTTTGGACACCATACATTACATTAGTGCCGCTTGGGTTGAAATTAAACCAGATGTAATAATAAACTGTTTTCGGAAAGCTGCATTTGGTGTGTTGAACAACTCTGAACAGGCAGATAGCTCACCTTTAAAAGAAGAGGACTTTCAACTTCTGCAAAATTTTGCTGATTGCGCAACAATAGATGATGAACTCGTAACCAGTAGCACTCGGACTTTGGATGAAATAATCGCTGATACGAACTTAGTGGAGAATGAGAAAGAAGACGACGATCAAGAAGAAGAAGATCAAGACTTTCCAGTATCTATTCCTACAATTACTGCTAGTTTGCAACACCTATCGGAAATTCGGAAAGTATTATACTCTGTTGAAAATTCCGAAGAATTGTTAGGTTGTCTTAATGAAATTGAAAACTTTCTTGCTGAAACACCTTGTCAGAACCTTAAACAATCAAAAATAGATAATTTTTTTAATAAACAATGTATTTTCCATTAAATTATGTTTAATAATAAAAAAATAAACTCGATATTTCAATCACATCATTTTTTTTTCATTCCCGCATAAGACGCTTTCCCGCTTAAGAAGTTCTAGGGAGCTGGTCCCTTAAAGAGCGTCTTAAGCGAGTTTTACTGTACTTTATATATACTTCTTTTATTCAACATACTTTTTTTTAAATCGGACCATTTCTCATTATACCGGGGGGGGGGATTCAAAACTTGAAATATAGGAATAAAAAAATTTTATTTTAAAAATTTTTTTCAATTTTTTCAATTTAACTTATGAAATACTTCGAATTTTAAGCATACGTTTAGTTAAAGATTATAATATTTATTATAATTTAAAAAAAAAAAAAAAAATTGTCCTGACACCTTGTCTTCTATATGCAAATTTTATTTTGATGTATATCTCTATAGTTAGTTAAGGTAAAGTACCCCATTTAATTCTATTTTACAAATTAATTATACAACTAATTTAAATGTCAGTGTTATATATTTTTCAGTTTCGTAATGTCAAAATCATAAGTATATACAAATAACATAAGCTTTAATTTCACTTATGTTTAAAGCTCTAATTATTTCCACAGTATTAAGTTCAACTTAAGTTGGAAAAATAAAATTTTTGAACAAAAGTTGCTATTTTGATTTCTTTATTGTGAGCAGATTAAAGGCAATTTTAATATATTTATAGTATAAATTTATTTAGTATAAATTTTATACTAAATAAAGGAGTAATACCTAAGGCATTTGCAAAGAAAGATTGTCCTGATCTTTCATTTTTCAAAGATTTATCACTGTTAAAAAAAAAAAAATAAACAACGGAACAAAAAATTTTAACAATAATTACTTGATATTGCAGAAAAACGATTGATGTACAACGTAACAAATATTACTGCAAAAAAATTGACTTAATTTACATACAATGAATAGCACTCCTTTTCTTGTATAGAAAAGGCCACTTTAAAATATTACTTTTAATACAACATGACCGACCATGGCCGTTGATAAAAGAGCTGACCGATGAATAAGACGGAGGTGCTGCCAACCCACTACACTTTTGCCGTCAAAAAAATTAATTTAAAATTAAGTGTGTGACGCTTACAAGTCAAACAACTATGACGTCAATAGCAAACAACAAAAAAAAAAAGTTTTTCCAAGGTTAGACTTAGAAAAAGCTCTTAATCAAATAAAAATTGCTGAAGAGGGCACTCTTAAAATCGCAATTGTATCACCAAATGGTAGTTTAGAATTTTTAAAAATGCCCTCCGGTCTAAGAAATAATGCACAAAAATTTCAAAGATTGTATCAGTACTTATAATAATGATAATATTTAGGTATTTAAAAATAATTAATATTCATTATCCAGTAGTTTTATTATTAATGCATTTACAAATATTGATAATAAACCAGATTACTAAATTATGAACAATTTGATAGATCGTTTATTCACTTTTTTTCTAATTTCGATAATTTCGAGTAATCATAGTTTTCAAAATAATTACTCTTTTGAATCCTGATTACAAGTTTTATGATTTATCAGTGTGTTACATAAATAAATATATGCATATATATTTATAATATATAAAGGGGAATGGTCCGATTTCAAAAAAAGTATGTCGAACAATTATCCATTCAATTTTTGAAAAATTATAGAAGTATTAAGTTAAAATTATAAAAAAGAATTTTTACAAAAATCGTAATTTTTTAAATTAATTTTGATGTTTGTTTTCTCCTTGAAAACAAATATTTAAGTTTATTATATAAGCTTTAATTTATGGTATATATAAAAGTGTCAGTATTTCCAGAACATTTTCAAAAGTTAATTTTTTGTGAAAAGTTATCATTTTGAATCCCCGTGTGGGTAAGTAAAAGATCAGATTTTACCAAATAGTAGGGGAAGATCTCATGTATTTATAGAAATAAATTTATATTGATTTGGTAATTTTTTAAAAAAGTTATGACAGTTTTAAGTAAAAAAAATTGAAAAAATTTCGAAATTTAGCGATTTTTAAAAAAGTAATTCTTTTAAAGATTTCCCTAATATACTGAGAACGAGAAAATTTTGTTCAATTTTTGAGAGTAATACCTTTGACTAGATACGATTTCTGATCTTTTGACGTATCATTGAAAGAAATCAGTTCGGTGTGAGCTGAGAATTGTGATAACAGACACAAAAAAAAACACATAGTAAAATTAATACCTCCGCATCGAAAATAAAAACTTTTAAAATTTTCTTTAGCCAGTATTCTTGAAATTAAAATGAAAATTCTTTAGATCTTGAAAAATTTATTCTTTAACAATATTTGTAGTTAATTATTGAAGTAAATATACAATTTAAGTATCCATATAATTTATTTTTTAATAAATTCAATTACTATACATATTTATAATAATATATATGTATATTAAATGGATAAAGTATAGACAGCTGCAAGTCTTAAAAGTTAACATTTATCGCATAATTATTGTCTTCATGCATTTACATAATACTATACAAGACTATTTATTAAATATACTGAAAGTAAAATTAACTAATGGTCATACTATGGTCTATAAAGATTTACTAGTTTAAATATCTTCAAATATCTCATTGGTTTTTAGTTTTTGAAATAAAGAATACATATGATTATGAAAAATAAATAATTTATATAATTAGAGGTAACCAAATTTTAAAGGAAAATAATAATTTTAATAAGCATTCATTTGTAAAAATTTCAAGAAAGTTCAATTGAATTAAATTTTTAAAAAAAAAGTACTCATCCATAAAACGTATTTTATAGGTAATTTATTTTCTAAAAATAGATAAATAACGAAAGGTTTTGAATCTGTCCTGGAAGTATGTACAGATATATGTGGTACTACGAATAACATAGCTTGCATTACTCTGCTTGGCCCAATAAATTAATTCTTGTGAGATAATCTGTCTGTTAGTACATAATTTGAACATACATAAAAAAATATAAATATTTTACATAAACTATATACATAATAGTAAACTTATATTCAATATTAAATAATTATCACTTAAATTAGTTACTTTTGATAATTCGTCATCCCAGAATAAAAAGGCTTCAAAAAAAAAAAAAAAATTGACAGAATAAATTTTTATACTTTTTATAATTTAATTTTTTGGGTCACCAAAAGAAGTATTAGAAAAATTTAAAAACCAAAATGATTTTTTTTTTTAGATTTAATTCTGAATATTCCTGTCAACTGTTTTAGTCTTGCATAAATAAATGACGAATACACCTTTATATTCTAAAGTAACGAAATAAAACATAAGAATACTTAAAATTATACTTTATCTATAACATTATCATTGGTCGATCGTTTAGTTCTTTCATGCAACATGTCTTGAATTTCTTGTAGTGTCTTGCCTTCTGTATCTGGTAATACAAATACTGTGAAAATTAAAGCAACGATGCAAAACGAGCCAAAAAGCCAAAAAACATAATCCATTCCGAAAACTTCAATCATCGTGTCAAAATTTATGCTCAGTAAAAATCCTAACGATGCGCAAACACAAGCTGTTATAGATGTTGCAACAGATTTTAGATTTGCAGGAAACACTTCTCCCATAATTGCCCATGGTAACGGACCATAACCTGTAAAAAAAAATTGAATCTTCATTTGAATTTTAACATTAAAAATATTATGCTTCTAAATTAAAGTAAATTTTAATTAAAGTATATTCCTCAACAAAATAAAGGAAACATATTAGGGGAAAGGTCTATCTACCAATAAATTTTGAAAAAAACATTGTAAATATTGCAAAGAAAATACAATTTATCGTAAAATCAACTTATATATTTTTTTAAATTATGATTTTGCAAAAATATCTTACCGACATAAAATGTTATGATGTAGGTGACTAAACTAGTAATAGGTAACCATTGTAAAGTGGATTGATCCATTCCTAATTTTGGACAAAAAAAGTAAAATCCAATTGCAACCTTCAGAGTAGTAAAATATTTGATTAAATACATGGAAGAATTGAATAACTTGTGTATGTAAAATAATTTCAATTTTAAATTGTACTAACTTCTGAAAAAAACATGCCAATAGCAGATATATTAAGCATTTTTTTCATTGACATGTAATTGGCCATCGTTGGTGTAAAACTACAAGTAACTAACATTACTACGCCAAAAATGATTGTGCAAGTACTTGCAGTTAAATTTGTATTTGCAGCTTTGAAAATATTTTCAGTATAGAGTATAATAATATTTATACCACTCATTTGCTGTAATACCACCATTGATAAAGAAATCATTATTGCTTTGATGTTGCCTTTATTGGCAAACAACTCAAAAAAACCTGATTTTTGTTTTTTAGCTTCTTCTATAGATAACTAAAATAAAATGTGTGTTACAAATAATATAACAAAATTATAGTGCATGTAAAAGGCGTATAACGTACTATTATTTCTTGGAGTTCTTTTGCTATTGCCGATTCCTGAGAAGTCCCTCGGAACCAACATAAAGCTCTTGAGGCTTCTTCTTCTCTACCCGGCTTATTTAAAATTGAATGTGGGGAATCTGGCATCCACATAAACGTAACAAAACATAAAACTGGTGTAATCAAAGATACCAATGCTAATGTTAGGTATGATGTGTACGGTCCTACAGTGTACTCTATTAGGAAACCACAACATAGAAAGAATTGCATAAGTGTACCAAGCGAACTCCTCAAATTGGGCTAATTACAAAATAAATAACAAAAAGTTTTTATACAAAATAGTCATAATAATTATGAAATTACTGTAGAGATTTCGGCGATGTAAGTTGGGACGGCTGTGAAAATTAAACCAACACTAACACCCAATATAAACCTAGCCAGGCATAAAATATTTAGTTTAGGAATAAAACCTATTACGATCCATGCAATAATAGACAAAATCATGCTGAATAGAACAGTATTTTTTCGCCCCAGTTTATCCAGTATAAATCCAGAAAGTATTGGTCCAACAGCAGCTCCTAATGTTACTAGGGAACTGACCCAAGTAGCTTCTTCTTTAGTGATTACCAAAGAAATACTTGGATCACCTCCGTTAACTAATTTTATCAACGTTGGCGATGACCACGTCGAAGCACATCCTGCTGCCATAGCTCCAAGGTTTGCTGAAATAAGTATAATAGACTAGACTCATTTAATGACAAATCATAAATACTTTAACTGAAAAAACAATTTCAAGATAATTTAACTACCCTAGTAACATTATTTGTTGGCTGTTCAAAACCAAACAAGTTTAAAAATATTTATAAAAACTTATAAACCAAGTGTTTAGTTGTTTATTACGTAAATTGAGGTCAGATGTTTTTAAAAATGTTTGCTTAGATATTTTACGGGTTAAATTTTTTTCTGTTCAATAATGTTAAATTCATTTACAAAAATTAAAAAAAAAAGTGGCAACAGACATAAAAAAAAAAAAAACACATCATGGTAAAATTAATACCTTCTCAGCTTCGCATCGAAGCTAAAATAGTAATATTTTTTTAAATTGTATATATCCATTGATAGTAACAAGTCTATTAAATTTGTATTATAGATACGTTTTGATTATTATTAGCAAAATTAATGTGAAATATAATTTTAATATAACCTATATTTGTTGAGTTGAGTTGTATAAAAACTTTTTCGTTTGTAAGGGGTAGTAAAATTTTTTTTCGATGTAAATATATATCTCCCCTAAAAGTAAAACTCAAGCTACTATACTTTTATGTTAGGCGTCCCTATAAAAAGCCGAACCTGAATACATGCCTCAATCGCCCCACCCATACATTTAAATTATTAGCTTTCACTATAATTCTTATATGCAATATTCTTAAAACTGTAAAATATAATTTTTTTTATTTATAACTTAAGTTTATGTTTATAAATTGTCAACTATGTAAATTGTCAATTTTTTTTAACAAATTTTAACTTTTGTAACTTAATAATAAATTAGAATGTATGTTTTCCCGTCAAACTTACACACATTTATATAAAAATTTTAAAGAGGATATAAATAATTTGTAAGTATCAACCTGTCATTGCAGCGAGGTACAAATTGATCGACGAGCCTTCTGACTGCTGAGACCTTTCAGTGGATTGCTTCATGGCAGCTAAATTTTGTGGCTTTTTGCTGTTTGACATTATAGATCGGTTGTCGTGTTTCATATGACTCGCAAGCGAAAGACTGACTTTGTCACCTACTCACAGTGCTGCCCCTTCTTTCATAATTATTTCTGATATTTTAAAAAAATGTATAACGATATGAAGGATGCAAAATTATTTGGGTAAACATTTCCTATCATTTTCTCATTTAATGCATAATTAAGATACATTTTTGTTTCAAGTATTATGATTAAGTCGTACGAAAATATTTGATAAAACCACCTGATTAAACAGTTTCAAAAACATTGTTATTCTATAAGTGGTATCAATTAGTTAAGTTTGTATTTTAGATAAGGAATTATTAATGACAACATTGTAAGATTTTCATTAATGAATAATATTATTTAGTTCTTTGATTGAATATACCGTTTGATATTGAGACAGTAATAAATCATAGTAAAAAGCATTATTATTTTGCAATTTGATAATAAAAAGAAAATATAAAAAATAGAATTCATTTGTATACAAATACAGTAAAAGTTGACTTATTCAGAAATAATTTTATTTAGAATAAAAATTTGTCGTATTTTGTTTTTAAAAATTAGCTATATCATGACATCTACCTCTAGATAAAATTTTACTTTTACCCTCTAAATTATTTTTAACTGCCTTGAAATAACTTCTTTGATTTGTAATAAATGTTTATACAAATGTTGTTGGCAGACATAATATAGTAGTTATAATGTTAATAGGCTCACAAAAAAAAATTATATTCTTATGATTTTATAATTAGTTAACTTACAGCACAATAACGCGAGATAACGTTCAAAAAGTTGTTAACGTTACAATATTATGAAAGTAAAAATTGTATAGTTCAATATAAATAGTATAGTTTCTATTTAAAAAATTATATTGTACAGAGATTTACCAACCAGCTTATTGAATTCATCTTTATAAAGAAGAACTTATTTACATATATCTATGTGCATTAATTGTTCTAAGCTCTCGGACTTCACAGCCACGATAGATACTCGATGCTCAACAATTAACCAAAATTAGATTTGAAAATAAGCTTTAAACAAAAGTTGTTGGTAGACACAATGTAGTAGTTATAATATTAATAGGCTCACAAAAAAAATTATATTCTTATGAATTTATAATAAGTTAACTTACAGCACAATAAAGCGAGATAACGATCAATATAAACTTAATTTTAGTTGTTCAAGAGTTTATTATTTACATTTTAAATTAAAAATTTTATTCAGTATAAGTTTAACGTAATAAGTCATTAATGCCTAGCCTTGGATTTAATTATCATTGGTATTTCATATATTTAAAAATTACCATAACATATTACGGTTTCAGTAGATATTTAGTACAATACAATTAGTTTTTTAAGATAGAGATTAATTAAATATTTATTATGTTTAATAAATTCCTAATATTAATGAGAAAAAGTTGTTAACGTTCAATATTATGAAAGTAAAAATTGTATAGTTCAACATAAATAGTGAAGTTTTTATTTAATAAACTATATTCTACAAGAATTTACCAACCAGCTTATTTAATTCCTATCTATAAAAAAGAACTTATTTACTTATATCTACGTGCTTTTATTGTTCTTAACTCTCAGACTTCAAAACCACGATAGATCCTCGATGCTTAAGAATTGACCAAAATTCCCTAACATCTAGACTTGGTGAATATACCACTTCATATTATTCTTATTTTGATTATTACAAACCCGATAAAATGTATGTAATGTTGTTTATAATTTATTATTGCCTATATTATTATATTTATATGTTCTATTTTTTTAATAAGCAAAATATCTAAGGTTTATTAGCAGTGATTAGTAAGAAATTTTTCCCACAATAAATTTGAGCAAAAAATTTCAAGGGGTATTAAATACAAACTGTCTTGGAGCGTTGAAACCATTATTACGTCATAGTGTCTATCAAAATTCTTATTGGAATAAGGATTAAATATACTTTGTACAATGATTTAGAATTTGGTTCATTTTAATGAAATTTAAATTTTCTGTATTGAAAATTATGATAAAAGAACAATAAAGAAGTTAAGGAACAATACAATTTTATAATTGATTAAACTTTTTTGGACATTTGTAATTAAGAAGATATAAAATTGACCTATTGAAAACTGAATTTTTTTTGCTCATAAAGCGTTAGTTAATATAAGATTAAAATTAAATTAATTAAAAAACTAAATAGCATTGTTATTTATAAACGTCTTTAAACTTAAATAGCCATCACTAAAATTACTTCAGTTTTATAATTATTATAAAACTGAAGTTTACAATTATTGTAAATGTAAAGACACTCATGTTTTTTGTAAAAAACGATTAATATATTTTTATTATTTAGATACTATTTTTTAAATAGTAACTATGGAAATCACAACAATTAATGAATTTTAAAATATATTATTCTCTATGTATATTTTTTATTCTTTATTTAATAACAAAAATATATAATGATGATTCAGAATCATTGTTTCTTCACTTTAAGAAGGTATTGTTTTTTTTAGTTAAATAGTTATCATTAATATTTATTCCATTCTATTAAATACTTACTAATGGCTTGAAAAAGAAACTACATACAAAAATAGATTTTAATTTTTTTTTTAAGGCAAAAGTAACAAATATATCATTTTGAAAATTAAATAGAATAGAAGCTGCTATACAAAAGTCATTTATTGAAGATTTTAAAATTGGACCAAAAACTTTTTTGAATTCCTTAAAAAAAATTGAATGGTTAATAATAACTTTAATCAAGTATTTATTAAAATATAACTTGATCATGTGTAATTAAATTATTATCTTAAAAAATTAAAAATGAATTCTTCTAATTTGAAATATTTAGCACAATATCATGATATTGGACAACCATTAAAAATAGAAAATATTTTCACCGTTTATGTAAACATAAATCCTCTAATTTTACTTAATTGATAGATTAATCTTCAAATATTATGTTTATGATCATTTATGACTTAAAAATAAAATTATGATAAATATTATCTGAAGGATGATTTATCTTTTGAATAATTTTTGTTATTGTAATCTATAGAAAAATATTTATTAGATCAATATTTGCAACATATCTATGACCTCAGACGTGGAAGAATCCCATAGTACGTTAAATCTTTATCTTGCAGCTTGCACGGGTAAGATAATAAAATCTTAATTTATGACTAATTTAATTGTTTCAAAAGCATTTTAATTAATTAACAAATTTATTAAAAAACAGATAAAATTATTTTCGAATACCTTAAACAATATAATTATAACAAAATAGTCTTTTAAAAAAAAAATCAAAATCCGTTTCAGATTATAACTAAGTTATTTTTGTAACAAGGTAATATTCTCAAGAGACTCTTCATAGTCACGAGAATATTTTTCTGTAGATTATTGTGGTATAATATATTCTTCAATAATATATATAACAAAATAATTTCTCTATGAATATTAAATTAAACTTTAAATTTTTTGAAAAAGATTAATTAATTATTTTATTAAATTATCAATAACTTACACAGATTATTATAATATGGTTGCGCATATCCTTGCCTTTATGATTTTTAATACTTTAACATTTTAAGTTTCCAAAACAGTTATCCGACTCGTGGGATTTTACAAAACGAGTAATATCAAATTAATTTTAGTTGATAAAAAGGTGGACAAGAACTGTTTATGCACTCAGACTTGAGTGTCTATTGTGCGCATATTCTACCAAATTATATTAATTTAGTTTTTTTACATAAGTGTCCATTTAAATATTTTTGCAACTATTTGTATACCTAATAATAATATCCTATTATAAATGTTTTTGTAGATTCCCGCTTTATCTATTTTCGCTATATATTAATTCAATTACTTTTAAGATTTATTTTGAAGATGATTTTATTAATTAAGTATAGTTGTACCTATATTTAATTAATTAATTCGTTTTATTAGTAAATATTGGTGCATTTGCTGTTGGATGTGCAATAACTTGGTCATCGCCTACCATATTTAAGTTAAAAAATGGTGATTTGAGCGCTAATGGGTTGTCTATTACTGATACTGAAGGTGCATGGATTGCATCATTGATTGCTCTAGGTGCAGCCATTGGACCTTTAATAGCCAGATTCTTAGTTGACAGAATTGGTCGAAAACGCACAATATTATTTGCAATATCTTTACTTACTATTTCATGGTTAATTATTGGATTGTTTCCGAAAGTTTTACCCATCTATTTAGCCAGAGTTTTGGCAGGGATATCTGTGGGTTTAGTGTATACAGTAAATCCACTTTATATAGCAGAAATATCAGAGGTTAGATATATACTATCATATTCTTTAAAAACTTTCTATAATATTAATTTTTTTACGTATTAAGCCAAGATACAGGAGTTCATTAGGGACTTTGATGCAGTTTTTCTTGTGTACTGGTTTTTTAGTTGAATACGTAGTCGGCCCACACACCACATATTCTGGACTGGTATTGGTATCTATAGGTCCGTCGATACTCTGTCTTTGTTCTTTCATATTGATGCCAGAAACACCACAATTCCTATTAAAACAACCAAATAGTGAAAAAAAAGCATTGGAATCATTAAGTTGGCTACGTGGTCATCCTAGAGATGATATTGTTAAGAAAGAGCTTAATGAATTGAAGGTGGTAGCAGTAATAATAAAGATAAACATGTATTTAAAAAAAAAATCATATATAAAATATTATTGATTCCTCCGGCAACCGTTCGTTGCATTTGTCGACCGAAAAAAATGACAATTTAAACTAATTCAAATTTCAAAGTTATTTTTCTTGACTTAAAAAAAGCAAAAAAATTTAAATAAGTTTAACTTTCTATGCTTTGTCAATTATATTTATATAATATTTATAAAAATCTGTGTACTCCCCTTGTAAGGTATTTTAAAGTAAATTAAATGCCAACCTAGAATTTTATTATAAATACAGCATTTTTTTTAATAAGGCGACTATTTTCACTATAAAGAAAATTCAGAGGTCAAATTTTTATTTTTCAAAGTAAAGTATATTACATAAGCTTTAATTTAAGGTGTATGTAAAAGTGTTAGTATTTATGGATCATTTTAAAAAGTTAAGTTGAAAACGTTTATTTTTTGTGAAAAAGTTGTCATTTTGAAACCCTTTCTATGGGCAGGTAAAGTGACAAATGTTCACAAATATATATCAAATGAAAGGTAAACACTTTAGGTATCAATATAAAAATTATATTGATTTGTTCATTTTTAAAAAAGTTATTTCAGTAAGAAAAAAAATTGAAAAAATGTCGAAAATTACTAATTTTTAAAATTGTAATTTTTTTGGAAATTTTCCTCATTTACGGGAAACGAGGGAATTTTTTTCAATTTTCGAGCGTAATGTCTTCGACTCGATACGATTTGTGATCTTTTGATGTGTCGTTGAAAAAATTTGGTTTGGTGAGAACTGAGAAAAAGTGGCAACAGACATAAAAAAATATAAAAAAACACATCATAGTGAAATTAATACTTTCTAAGCTTCGCATCGAATTTAAAATGAATGGTCAAAATATAACATAAATCTATCACTTTGTACATGTTAATAAAACTCTCCTTCTTTTTCTTCTTTCTCCTCGCCTTAATCCCAACTACTTGGGGTCGGGATAATAAAACAATTATAAATAATGTATTTATAATGTTATATAATAATATACTTATATAGAATATATATTATGTATTCTAGATATTATTAGGTGAAAATGTGAAACAAAAAACAGGGATAAAAGAACTGTTTGGAAGTAGAGGAAACATCAAAGCTTTATTGATATCCTGTATCATGGTAGGCTTTCAGCAAGTGAGTGGTATTAATGTGGTATTGTTCTACAGTGAATCAATATTCAAAAGTACAGGGTCAAATATTTCATCTAGCACAAGTTCTATTATTGTTGGATCTGTTATGGTTTTAGCAGCTAGTATAACTCCACCATTTACTAAAATATATGGTATGAAAGTATTATTGTATATATCAACAATAGGAATGACGATCACTTTGGTATAAATTTTATATCATAAGCTAAGTTGTAAATTAATCATTTTTATAATATGTTTACTTTATTGAAGAGTGCGTTAGGATTTTACTTTTTTCTACAAAGCTTAGGACATAACATGATATCACTGAGTTGGTTACCAATCACTTGTCTAGTGCTCTACATAATAACTTATTGTTTTGGTAAAATTCAATTGCTAAATAATTTAATAATTTGAAAATTTTAATGCAAACATTTTTTATGATTATTAGGTATAGGACCTTTACCTTGGGCTATAATGGGTGAAATGTTTCCAGCCAACTTGAAAGCAATTGCTTCAGCTTTAACAACAAGCTTTTGTTGGATATTAGGATTTATTCTGACTAATAGGTTCATGATATTATGTGATACCATTGGACAACATTTTACATTTTGGATTTTTTCTGGTTTTTGTATACTAGCATTTTTATTTTCTAAGTATTTATTACCTAACACAGAAGGAATGACACTACAAGAGATTCAAGATATGTTACATAGTCGAATAACTACACAAAATTGAATTAATTTTAATAAAAAATTTTAAATGATTTCAGTTTAAATTGTCAGTATTTATAGAAAATTCATTGGCATATATTATATAAAAAAAATTTATTTTAATACAACAGCATTTTAAAATTGTACTAAAAATAAGTTTAAAAATGATTTAAAGATGTCTTAAGACTTAATCAAAAATTTGAAGTCAAAACCAGTGATATAGCCAAGGGAGTGCTAAAAGGTCTTTAATTTAGTAATACTGTCCCTCTTGTATTCTTAAATTTATATTTAAAAATTGATATTAGATATGAAATCAGTAATCTTTTTTTTTCTTCCACGACCGGCATTATTGTGGGCCGCCCCGAAATTGCCGTGAGGCATTACTTCAGGGTGATCAGCAAACTTTAAAACTTAAAGATTTTTTGTCTTAAATCAGGAGATATTAATTTGTTAACACAAGCCATTTGATTGCAAACCTCTATGCGTTATAGCTAAGAGTTTACGCAGGAATATATGTTTTATATCCAAAATATTTTTTAATACTTTTTTAATAATAGTAATAAAAACAAAAAATTGGATTCATTTTGATCACCCTGAAATTTTTTTTCTATTATGGTATTGAAAAACACAAAATATCACTTAAACTTAGTATTATGTAACATTAGGGTGGTTCTTAAAATTAATGTAGTAAAATTTAAAAATTATACAATCTCAATTAGTTTCAACACTTATAAAAATGAGTTACGCAATGTTTCAGGTAAATCAGAAAAGATTAACCCGTGCCACATAAGGCCTAAAGTTTGAAAACTCAAAAATTTTGTAACTATACATTTTTCATTGTTTTTTTAGTTCAACACATGAAATAATGGATTCACAACAAAATTGTAAGAACAAAAGTTGTTTAAATAATATTTTATACAAATTATATTCTGAACAATCTTTTGATTTACTTATTATTTATGTATAAAAAGTCAATATATAGATAATTTTGTTGTTAAAAACTCACAAAATAAAATGAATGTTAGTTGTAGTTTTTCAACTCGTGGTAATTTTCGTAATTTATCATAACAGCAATGTATAATCTTGAATAGACTTTTATTAAACCATCAAGTCACAATTTATTACAAGAATGACTAAAAAGACGATAAAGTCTTTATCAAAACCCATTACTAATATTTGTCCTAACTATACATTTTTCAGGTTATTGTTTTCATTAGTTCTACTGCACCCGTATGATCATTTTTAGATTGTACACATTTTAGTGTTTACAATAATTTTGATATTTTAACATTTTTTTAATACATATTAAAATGGCTTCATGGAAAACTTTACGAAAAGATACATTTATATTTTTGATTGGTTTCCCGTCAAACCAAATTATTGGTAGTAAATTACCGTCAATAAGACAAGTAATATCAGTTTTTTTTTTTTAATATTCGTCATGTTAACCTGAGCATACTCGAAAGCTCTAAACTGACAATAAAAGAGGTAAGTATTTTTTGACAAAAAGCGCGTATACCTATCATATAACAGTATTGCATAAAAAAACTTCAAAAATATTACGAGAATGGAGAAATTTACAAAAACTGCAATACAGAAAATCTGACACTCAAGCAAATAAAATGAAGAATTTAGTTCAAAACTAAATGATTTGTTTGACATTGTTCAAGTTGATGCCCTTAATTTAATGTCATTACAAGAAGATAGAGATTATTTATTAATGCAAAGACAAAAAAGACGTCCTGGTATTATGTTAGGAATTGATTTCAATATTACACAAAAATAAAAAAGAGCCAATCAAAGGTTAAAGATGTCCGAAAAAAGACGTAAAAGAAGTTATGACGAGATACAGTCATTGAGTAAGTCTAATGTTGTTTTAGAATTATTATTTAATAATTAAGTATGTATGAGGTGTGACAATAAAATAACGAGACTTTTTTAATAAAAGTTACTTATTTTAAACATTTTACAATTTAATGATTGTCACTTTCAAAGTATTTTTCCTCAGCATCAACACAATGTTGTCAATCGCTTTCAGTTAGTCCTTTTAGAAGTTCTGCCGTTTTCATTTTTACGTCATCAACCGTTTAAAAAGGAACCCCTTTTAATAAACTTTTAATTTTTGGGAATAAGAAAAAGTCACAAGGAGCAAGGTCTGGCGAGTACGGGAGGTGTTGAAGTATAGAAATATTTTTTTCAGTTAAAAAACTTTGAATTGAAAATGCTCTGTGAACTGTAGTATTGTCTTAGTGAAGAACCCAGCCATTCTTCCACAGATCTGGTCGCTTTTTTCTAACACGTTCTTTTAATTTAATTAATACCTCTTTATAATAATATTGGTTGACAGTTTGCCCACTAGGAACCCATTCAACAAAAATTATTCCCTTAATGTCAAAGAAAACAATGAACATTGCTTTGAATTTCGACTGCTCATTCGTGCTTTCTTCATTCTTGGGGAAGTTGGTGTCTTCCAATGCAGGGATTGCCTTTTAGTTTTAGGAATATATGTAAAAATCCACGTTTCATCACACGTAATGATATTATTTATAAAAGATGGATCATCTTTGATGATTTTTAAGGTGTCAGAACAAATTTCTTTTCGATTGAATTTTTGATCAATCGTCAAATTTTTAAGGACCATTTTAGCATACACTTTTTTCATATTTAAATTTTCAACTAAAATTTTACGAAAACTTTCTCTATTAATATTTACCATCTCTGCTACAGCTTCAACACTTAATCGATGATCATGTCGAATAATTTTGTCGATTTTTTCAACGTTTTCGTTTGTTGAACATGTGGTAGGACGTCCAGAACGATCATCGTCTTCCACGTCCTCTTTTCCATTGCAAAACCGTTTGTGCCATTCAAAAACGCGTGCTCTTTATAAACATTCTTCACCATAAACTTCACATAACATACGAAATGATTCCGCGGCAGTTTTTTTTTAATTTAACAAGAAATTTAATGTTAACACGTTGTTCGATTTTTATAACTAACATTTTTCGATAGTATAGTCGAATTCGCACTAATAATAATGTTACTAACGTATAAGAAAATTAACCGATTTCATCAGTGTTTATAGTACTTTTAGATAAGTGTTTCCTAATCATATTTCAATAATAGTTTTATAGATAACGTTAATAGTTTAGGTTATATTTAGAAAGTCTAGTTATTTTATTGTCACACCTCGTATTTCAGATGCGCAAGCAGAAATGTGCTCATCATCAGAGTCTGACGTTGCTAAAGATGATTTTAACAAGCCTGGACCGTCTAAAATGTACGTTAAACAACTAACTAGAGGAAGTATTGATGTTATTACGCCAAAACTGCAGCTGCACTCGATAAATGCAAAATTAGTGATAGAGATGCAGTTCATACATTAATTTCAACAGCAGAGGCATTAGGTGAGGACGTTGAAAAATTAATGATAAATAGATTTTCAAATCGAAACTCACGTATACGTTTCCGTAAAGAACGCGCTGAAAAAATCCGTAATAATTATTTGGTAACTATTAAAGATTCCGTTGTCATTCATTGGAATGGTAAACTTTTACCTTCATTAACAGGACAAAAAAGTGTTGATCAACTTCCCATTATTACTTTATGTAATGGTGAGAGTCAATTACTAGGAGTTCCAGCAATTGATACGGGAACAGGGGTTGATCAGCCTGATGCTGTTTTTCATTTACTTATTGATTAGTGTATTACAGAAAATGTACAGGCTTTTTGCTGTGATACTCCGGCTTCAAATATGGGTAAATTGAAAGGTACTTGCATGTTATTAGAAAATTACTTAGAACTTAATATTTTGTACTTACCATGTCGATTCCACATCTACGAGCTAATATTAAAATGTGTTTTTGAAGTTAAATTATATCTAACATCTGGTCCTGATGTACCAATATTTAAACGGTTTCAACACTATTGGAGGAATTTAGATACTAACAAATTTGAGCCAGGTATAATGAACGACATTGTAAAAAAATATTAAATGATGTATTTACTATCTTCGCAAATAACTATTTGCTTATCAAACAACCCAGAGAAGATTACAGAGAGTTTTTAGAACTAACAATTATTTTTCTTGGTGGAGTTCCCCTAAGGTGAGTTTCCTTTAGAGTTCCGGGAGCTATCCATCATTCTAGATGGATGGCAAAAGCTTTATATTGCTTAAAAATATTTATATTGCGAAACCAATTTAATTTAACCCAAAAAGAAGAAATGTCAATAGCTAGCATTTGTATATTTGTTATTAGATTATACGTAAGAGCTTGGTTTAGTGCACCACTTGCTTCTAATGTACCATACCAAGATTTAAATTTTTTAAAACATTTGGTAAATTATCAGTCAATAGATAAAAATATATCAGAAGTTACAATTAAAAAAATGTGTGGTCATTTATAGTATCTATCGCCAGAGAATACGGTATTATCACTTTTTGATACTAATGTTCCATTTGATACAAAGAGCAAAATTATAGCTGCTCTAAAAATTTATACAGATGATGATGTACCAAAAAAATATTTATTGAATACAAAAGAAGCTACTGGAATATTAAATAAAAATTTTGAAGATTTGATTTGTGGAAAATCAATGCAATTTTTCAAACGTTTTAATATAGATACCAGTTTTCTAACCATTGACCCATCATTATGGAGCACTGATGAAAATTTCAAGATATTAATAGACCTTATTAATAGCATTAATGTAGTAAATGATAAAACAGATAAGGGTGTTAAACTAATGGAGGAGTTTAATACGACAATAACAAACGATGAAAAACAAAAACAATATTTGCTTCAAGTAGTAAATGATTACCGCAGTAAATATCCAGATTTCAAAAAGAGTACTCTATTAGATAACTAGTCGAATGATTAATTTTTAGTTTTTATGTTTGATGTGTTTTTGTAAATTTTTAAAATTTTTTTTCTTATAAAATTAATACTGACTACACTTTATTTTGTGAGTTTTTAACAACAAAATTATATATATATTGACTTTTCATACATAAATAATAAGTAAATCAAAAGATTGTTCAGAATATAATTTGTATAAAATATTATTTAAACAACTTTTGTTCTTACAATTTTGTTGTGAATCCATTATTTCACGCGTTGAACTAAAAAAACAATGAAAAATGTACAGTTATCCAACATTTTTGAGTTTTCAAACTTTAGGCCTTATGTGGCACGGGTTAATCTTTTCTGATTTACTTGAAACATTGCGTACCTCATTTTTATAAGTATTGGAATTAATTTTGATTGTATAATTTTAGAAAAGTTAAGTTTTTAAAATGATCCCTATTCACTAAAACCACCCTAATGTAACATACTATAAAATTTTAGAATAATATTATTTTAATACATTATTATTTTTTTAATGATTCTAGTAATAAAAATTATTAAGATATGAAATTTACAAATAAATTTATATCTTAAACATTTAACATTTAACAGTTATAGCAATATCAAGATTACGTAATGAAAGTATTTTATTTCATTTTCTATTCCACTTCTTATTAAATATCTGTTTTTAAAAATATTCTCGCTTATCACTATTTTGTGATATATACTCTTATCACAAATTACAACTCAAATTTTAAATCATTGCTTATTTTCTTATTGTGGCCTTCAATAACAATTGTTAACACTACATTAAAAACAACTTACTATATCAAAGATTTTATTTAATAATACCAGTAGAGTAACGTGGAAAAGGATATTATTTGAGTGAAATAATTGTTTTAATTGTCTAAATTATAATATATATATCATGAGTTCGGGGTTTGTTTCTGAAACAGAGTTAGCTGAACGAAGACGAGTTCGACAGGAGGAATGGGAAAAAGTTAGAACTGCTGAGCAGCCTTTAGGTAACGAAGTATTAAATAATTTTGCCACATTTAATTACAAATTATATATAATCGTCATGATATTTATAGAGGCGCCTGAAGAGCAGTATGACCATCGATCATTATTTGATAGACTAGAAGAACAACGAAGAAAAAAAGAGTATGAATATGAAGAAACACATAAACTCAGTAAGTAATTTTTGAAAAAAAAAAACTGAAACAAAAAAATGGAAAAAATAATTATACAGAGTAATACAAATCTGATAAGACACTCATTTTCTCAGAAACTATTGAAAATTTAAATTTTTTGCAAAAAGAAAAAATTTCAAGTTCAAAAAACTACAATAATATGTATTTAACTTTTTTTTCATCTCTTCAGGAATACAAATCCTTATTTATAAATTTCTTAAATGGTAGCCTCTAACTTTAACTTTATGATATAATAAAAAAAAATTTATAAACTACTTTGTTACAATTTTTTCACCTGATAAACCATTTGAGTTTTACAAATTGTTTAAAGATCTCGATGTCAGTTAAAAATTCATTATTGATTTGATTTTATATTGCTGGTGGCAGCAATTACCTATTTTGATAGTGACAATATATTATTGTTATCTCTCATTTAGATAAACACTGTGGGAAATATTTCTTGATAACTACCATAATAATTTATTGGGATCATAACATATTATTGCCACCAAGGTGGCAGCAATAATACTGGTATTATAAAACCAAATAAATAATGAAATATTATTTGACGTCTAAATCTTCAAACAATCTGTAAAACTCAAATGGTTGATAGGATGAATAAAATTGTAACAATAAAGTTGTTTGTAAATTTTTACAATTCAGAAATTTATAAATAAGGATTTGTATTCCTGAAGGGATGAAAAAAAGTTAAATACATATTATTTTAGTTTTTTGAACTTGATATTTTTTCTCTTTGCAAAAATTTAAAATTTTTAATAGTTTCTGAGAAAATGAGTTAACCAGATTTTTATTATTCTGTATATACATTACAATATTAAAATTTTATTTTTTAAGAGAATATGATAAGAGGTTTAGATGATGATGAGGTTGATTTCCTTGAACTAGTCGATCGTACAAAAATGGCTGAAGAACGCCGCCAATTAATAGAAGAAGCAAAACAAATTGAAGAATTTCGTTCTAAAGTATTGGATCTTCAATGTGAATCTTCTATTTTACCTTTGAAAACAACTGTTTCAAAACCATCAACAATATCTAGTAGCATGTACGTATTAAAGCAAATTTTATTGATTAGTTAAACATATTTTATCTATCACAAGAATTAATTTTATACATTTTCTAACTTATGCATCAACAAGTATAAAAAACTATATTTTAAGGTAAAAAAGTTTCATTATATATATATATATATATATATGCAAATTCTTAAGAGAATCTTGTGAAAAATAATTTGTTATTAATAAGTGAAGAATTATTATCAAATTTATTTTGCTTCTTTAAAATGTGTATTTGCCGATAGGCTATATTTATATATTTATGTCTGTATTTTTAATTATAATTTTTTTGTTATTATTATTAAAGAGTTAAAAAAACACAAAGTAAACTATTGGCTGGTGCTATTATAAAAAAAAGGTCATCTGAAGAAAGTACAAGTGGTTCAAAAAAGCAAATGATTAATCATGAATCTATAAAATTAAATGTCAAACATAATGAAAAATCTTCAGGTTCAGTTACCTATTTAAATTTCTTCTAGAACTTCTGTAATTTTTTTAATTTAATATAATATTATTTAATTGAAGGTAATGTGAAGTCTAGCCTTTTACCGGGTATTGCTTATTCAGATAGTTCAGATAGCGATGAAGATTTACTAAACTATCCTGTTAAAACTTTAGAAAAAAGTGAGTTTAAAAATTAACTTTGATAATAATAAAACTTTTATAATATAATTATATTATCATATTATTTATTATATTATTATAATTTTTTCCAGGCAATCAAAATAAGAAAAGTTAATAGGTTTAGTAAATAATTATTCACACTCATATTGAATTGTGTCTCATTAATTTTATCTTATGATTATAAACTACCTATAAATTATTTTTTTTAATAAAATTTAAAATAATACAATTTAGAAAAAGTATACAATTAAATTTTTTTCATATTTTTAAATAGTTGTTGATTTTGATGTATAATTAAATATATTTGTTATTAATGATCCATATATTTTTTCCTCGGTATCAGTGTTTCTAATAGTTATTAAACTTTATTTCAATCATAAATTCTATAATATATCATTGACAATTATATATTTTTTGTATTATCTGATTGATATAATTAAATTGTTACTTTATATTTTTGGCAAAAAAGAAAAGTTATTTAATGAAATACAAATGTAGTATTTAATTCAACTTTGATTGGGTATAAATAAACATGTAAAAAATATTTCTTTGATACCAGATAAAAGAAGGTTGGTTCAACTTTTTTTTATATAGAAATTGTTTTACTAATTTACTTAATATTACATATTTTGATTAGGTTAGCATGATTATTTTATTAATGCTTATAAATTAACTATACAAATTAATTAAAATTAAAAATTAATATTATATTTATAAATTTTCAATTTTTTAAAGTGTATTCTTGAAAAGTATATACTGTAAAAAGGTATACTACTGTATATTAATATATTTGTTGTAATAGATTTTGAGTGATGCTTAAAATTTAATCAAAGTAATACTTATAGAAATTAGAATATATTTTATATAGAGAGGTACAAAATTAATCTTAATATTTAAATTAAAGACTTTATTTTTTAGTAAACATTGGCTGAATTATTAGTTTTTAGCTTCAATGTATCTCTGAAAAAGTATTTATTTTACCATGTGTTTATAAGTTCTTTTTTTGTGACTGTTCCTACATTTTTCAGGTCTCACTGGATCCACATTTTTTAACAATACATCAAAAGATCATAAATCTTATCTAGTTAAAGACTTTATCCTCAAAAATAGTAAATTTTTACCTTGTTTCCTGTATATGGGGAAAGTCCCTCAAAAAACTAATATTTTTATAAACAATAAATTTTGACTTTATAAAAACTTATTTTAATTAATACTATTATAACTTTTTTTAAAAATAAATAAATCAAAAGGCATTTATTTTTTATGAATAATTTAGATATTTTCTTTTTTTTTAGGTATATTTTTTTGAAAATCTGACCCTTGAACCGTCTATCGAGAGGATTCAAATTTGTTCCATATGCATAAAAAGTAAATCTTTTCAATTTAATTTTTGAAAATTTTCTGAAAATACTCAGATTTTCAAACATATATAAAATTGAAACATTTAATACAAACTATAAGTAAAATAGATCTATATTTAAACAACTCCCAAAGTTAAACAAAACATATTGAGCTAGTGTAAGAAATCATTTTTTTTTTTTAGTTTTAATTTTTTGCTTCAAATTGTTTTTTCAACTATGAGTATATTTTAGGGCAAATGGTATAGTTATATAAGAGGGGGAGAGTAAAAATCTCCATTAAATCCCTCTTCCCCTTAAAAAAAAATAGTGCCGTACCTAAATTTACTAATTTTAACATTTGTTAATATAGTCATAATACTAAATCACACACAATGGGAAACTTGTATTAAAAAATATGTGCTAATTATAGATATGTTTATGGAGTATTTTTGGAGCATTTAATGTCAATACAATATGAATACTAAAAAAAAAGGACACTGTCCATTACAAAAAATGTTCTAGCTACCAATGTCTTATAATGAATTTTAATTTCTTGACTAAAATAATAATTAACTAATAAAGATCAAAATATTCAATGAAAGTTTAATTTATTTTAATTTCTTATTTTTTAATAAATCCATATTTACATTTTTCATACTCGTTTTCCATGAAATAACAAAATATACAACTACTCTATAATTTCTTCATGAAAATTACAATACAAAAAATATTCAAAAATAATTATTTATTTATTTTTATAAAACTTTTTAACAGGATATAATTAAGAAAATAATCTAGCAACTTTTTCTAAAAATTAAACACCACTGATTTGAATTCAATCGTTTTTCATGATAGTGATTTTAATCACTATTAGATATCATCTATACTTGTCGCGTCTTGACTATACAGATTAAATTATATGACATGATAATTATGTTCTAAGTTGTCTTTATACAATATATCATATTGTATCATACCATACAATAACATCTGCTATTTTGTTTTACAAAGTTTTATTTTTCGGATATCAATAATTGATTTAATAATTTTATTTTCACACGGTATATTAATTAATGTTATGTAAATGTCGTAATATCACTTGTATTATGTATATTTTATCGTTAATTAACTTCAAGGCTCTTGACAAATTATATAAGGTGTACAGTGAGATAGGAAAAGTGTTTTATTGTTCTGATTGGTTGTATCAATTGACCTATTTCTTTACTTTTTGAATACCTGTATTTAATCATTCATACATTATATTATGTACTTACAAAGTATTTTGTACTTTATAAAATAAAATTATAAATGTAATTTTATTTTAAAAAGCTAATTATTGTGTTTATTTTTGTTACTTGTTCAGATTTTCTTTGAGTAGTGGCAAACTAGCAAAATAATTTATATATTTAAGTATTTACAATTTAGTCACTTGTACGTTAAGCCAGATTATTAGTAAGAGGTATATCAATACATAAACTCGTACACATTATAAACTTAAATATGTTCACAGAATACATTATATATCTAATTAACATCTGGATAATAATTTATATGATTTGAAAAAAAAGCTGAGTAGTACGATTCATTCAATCCTGCAAAAACCAAAATATGATATGGTATAAATTATATATTAGGATGGCTTATTAATATTCTACCCTTTGACATTCTACCTCTTTAAATAAAACATACTACATAAATCATTATATTATTTTGTTTATGGTCGTTTTTTACGAACACCGCTAGCTACATATCTAGTTAAGTTTCTTTCTTTCTACAATACATATTGATAAATACTAAAATTATTCGTAAAATCACTTCACTGTTAAGTAAAAAAAATGCTTTGATAAAACTTTTTCAAATATAGAGTTGAAAAAAATGTTTACATGTGTAGGTGTTTTCTTTCAATCCATTCTTGTACTAAGATTCTTCATTGGATTTTTATGAACAGCATTTCAAAAGAAAGCTTATTGTCTCTAGTATACGCTATTGAACTTATTTGGATTAATACTATTTTTGTAGCAATTTTAAAACTTAGAAAATTTAGAATATTTTTCTATATTTTTAACATTAAGGTTTTTTTTTCCTATTCTTAGGGATAATATTGTACCCTTCTCTCTAAATCTTTTCAAATGCATTACTTTGAGACAGCCCCAATGAAAAGCCAGTTAATAAATTCCACTAGAAAATGCTTACTTTCCGTATCCCCCATAATTACTCTAGATGGGATAACCATCCCTCTCTGATTACGCCATTTATCTTGGCCTCAAACTGGATCTTATGCTAAGGTGGTTTCTTCATTTTTGTTTCAATCTTTTGACTGCTGCTCGCTGGGCAAATTTCTTAAGTTGTATTACCGGAATATTCTGGATCTCTCATTCCTCCTCATTACTTATCATTTTTAAATCCGTTATCCGCGCTCAAATTGAATACGGCTCCTTTTTTTTTTCTTTAGTCTCCTATATCCATAAGAAATAACTTAATTTCTTTTTATCCGCATACTTGCGCAACATTCTTGGTGTTCTAAAGTCTACCTCGAGCTACAGTTTTTTATTGAGTGATCCTCTCTCCCCTCGAAATCCGCTGTCGCATGTTTGCTAATAAATTTTCCTAAAATCTCTGTCTACCCTTAACTGTCATATCTACTCCTCATATTCTGAATTAAGTAATTGTTGGTGCTACTTGCTTAAATCGCTGCAAATTTTGGCCTCAATATGCTTTTTCATGACTCCCATGGTCTGTTACATATACAAATGGCATCCAGATAACTTCTATTTGACTTGACCCTTGCACTAGCTCCCATAGTGTATACTTCAACGTGATTCCTCGGCTTCTCATTTTCAATCCTCTGTTCTCTTCCTGCAACTTCCGTTAATAATCTCTTAAAAGACTATATCTCATTAAATTTTCCGACTAAATGTTTGATATTTACAGATGGTTCTGTATCAACTAACTCGGTTGGTTGTTCTATCTTTATTCCTGAACTTAATATTTTGTACTCAGTTGTACTCCACCTATTTTATTCTTATTTTACCACTAAATGCCTTTCATTTGTTAATTCTCTCATTTTTATATCATTTACTTCAAATAATAAATTTGCTCGTTTTTCTGATTCACTTTCTTGCCTACTTACCATTACATCTAATCCATTTTGCATTCATCTTTCTTCCTACATTCTGATTATTAGATCACTTAGTTCCTTAATTTCATCACAAAATACATTTATTTTATTTTTACGCCGGTATAATAGGTAACAAAACTGCTCACCGCATTGATACTTCTACCTCCCCTTCTTTCAGAGTGATTTTTTTATCATAACCCACTCAATTACTTACAGAATAATAATAAATTAAACATTTTTTTAATTTTTATTATCTTTAGTTACACATAAATCTTGAATTTTTAACTATGTAATACTTTTTAAGTTCATCTCTTATGCCTTGTAAGGGGGTTAACTTTGTTTTTTTAAATGGTAACGCATATTTTAATTTAATAAAATGTTTGAGTTTTTAATTTAGTAGTAAATGACATTTGAATTTTTAGTATAACTTTATTTGTTTATTAGATATAAACACTTACAGTTTCAATTTTTTGAGTTAATATACATGTATAATACACAAAAGATAACAAATGCAGGTAGTTAATTGATTTTTTATGACATCGATATTAGCAGGTACACAGCATTGTTATTATCAATGATAGTAAGGTACATTGTTGTGAGTTTATAAATACACTAACTGACAATACAAAAAGTGTATATCTATTGATATTTATAATTGATAATAAACAATCCGTGACTGTCACATCAATGTCATAAAAAACCAATTAGCTACCTATATTTGTAATCCCTAGTGTATTATACCTGTATATTAACTCAAAAAATTGAAACTGTAAGTGTTTATATCTAATAAACAAATAAAGTTATACTAAAAATTCAAATGCCATTTACTATTAAATTAAAAACTCAAACATTTTATTAAATTCAAAATATTTGCTCCCATTTAAAAAAACAAAGTTGACCCCCTTACAAGGCATAAGGGATGAACTTAAAAAGTATTACTTAGTTAAAAATTCAAGATTAATGTGTAACTAAAGATAATAAAAATTAAAAAAATGTTTAATTTATTATTATTCTGTAAGTAATTGAGTGGGTTATGATAAAATAATCACCCTTTATATACATAATTATTGATCAATAAATATTGATAAATATTTATTAAATATTTATTAAATAAATATTGTTCAATTTATACATATAAAGCTCTTTTAACAATAATTTGAAATAATGTTTAATTTCTCTCTATTTTAGAGTTTACTAACAATTATTGTCGTATCTGTTGTACCGTTATAAGATAGTCTTCTTACTGTTTTACTTTTTTTTTGTTTATAATTATTTTAATAAAGGCCATAAATAAAAATTTAAAAAAACTTTATTTTAGGTTTTTGAAGAATATTATTATTACTTTGTGTAGTGTACTCGCAATTTTACACTATTCGAATTTAATGATATAATAAGAATTGATCACATTAGGCTAATATTATTTACATTTAAAAATATACTTAAAATATGAATTAAAAACTAAAAACTATTAAAAATATTTAACTCAAAAAGCCACGAAAAATACCAATTTTTTTTTATATTATTTTCAATTAAATAATATTTAATTCAAAGTTTATTATATTTTATTTTTTAAACATATTTAATAAATTAATTATTTTAATAATGTATTATAAATTTCAATAAGACGAATAACAAATATTTATTACTAACTTAGTAAATTTTTATTTTCCAGTGGAGAGCTTAAAATTTTAATTGAATACTATAATTTTTAATAGGAAATTAAAATTAGTAGTGTTATTTATTTTATTTTAAAATCTTTATTTGTACAATGTTATAATTAAACAACAAATATTGAAAGACAAATTTTAAAAACAATGTAACATTTGATTAATAATTGTAAATCAGGTATATCAATAATCACTTGAGATAACGAAACGATAATTTCTTCGAGTTTCTTGAAATTGGTTTAGTTTGTTCTAAATTAATGTTTATTTTAATGTACATACTTGACTTATTATAAAAAACATATTTCAAATCAGACAAATAACTTATAGTAAGACAAAAATTATAAAAACATTATTACAACAAAATAATGGTGAAAAATTAACTATGATAAATTCGTAAGCCTAAATGGTTCTAAAACAATACAATAATATTAAAAAAAAAAAATATTTTTTTTAGTAATTTTGATACACGTTTTTAATGTATTATATCAAAATCAATTTGTACGTAAAGTAGAAATAAAATTTATTTTTTATAATGACATCTTGTAATATGCCTCGTAAGTTATAATAATTACACATGATTCAAAGTGTATCAATATAAATCAATGGAAGTAAAAAATATATGAAAAACTCTTGAGCATAATAAAATTACATGTAAAACCCTTTTAAATAATGAAGATAATTACACTATTTAATAAAATAAAACTCATGAGAAATATATTTAAGATTGGAATAATAGTTTGGAATTTATTCATCTTACATAGTTATAAATTATACAACTTCTACTCAAATGACACAAGATTAAAAATGCATTTTTAGAATTTATTATTTTTGATTAACTTAACAACCAATTAACATAGTTTTATTTTGATTTAAAAAATATTCTAATATATTCAACTATTCTTGTTGATAAATTAAAACTTCAGTTAGAACCTTTATTCTCTAGACGCCCTAAATAAATTACTCAAATGTCATCTATACCCTTAAAATCCCAATCTACGAATCTATGTACCTCACTGGTATTAATCCAACATGATTCGGTACATATCGATTCTATACAATTACTTTTCATCTGACTTGAAGCTATTAGACATTTTATTTTTTACTCGTCTTTCTAGACTTGTAAAAATAATTTTAAACCAGCTCAAAAGTTTTTTAAAACTTTTGTAGTATTGATCTTGACAAAAGATTATTTGCATGGCGACATTTCCACATACACTATCTAGATATTATTTCTGTAAGACTGACCATATCTGTTCAAACGATGTTGAGGTCCATTCGTATTATTGAGTTCATTATTATTAGCACAATATCTGCATGTCAACCTCCAAAAGGCCATTCTAAAATCTGGACTAACAAATGCATATATAAATGGATTGATCGCCGAGTTCATCCAACCTAAAATATAATACTTTTTTAGTTAAATTAAAAAAAAAAACATTTTAATGTAAATTTCATATAATTAGAATTCAAAATATGTAATACATTTTCAGTTACCGATAATGAAATTTAGTAGTTACGACCATATTCAAGCTTGTTGTTAAGGGTAGATGCTATAAGCCTTTTTCTCTGTTAATAAGTAAGCGAAAAAGAGGCTAAACATAATAATTTTATAATCAACTGAAAACTAATATACTCATTTTTCTTATAACTCAAAATTTATCTAGGATTCAACATTGCAGAAAGATAAAATATCCAGAAATCATTTTTTAATAAAAAAAAAAGAATTTGTAATTGAAGTTAGAGAATAAACATATTATAAATTCAATTTTAAAAGCTTTAATCATCTCTTAATGAGTAATTTAAAAGAGGTTATTTTAAATTTCATTAAAAAACTAAATAAGTATTCATTTGAATTGAATAAAAGATTTGCTCAATTATTTTGCGACTTCACATAAGACATGTTTTTTTTTTCAAAATACACAAGGTAAATTTGTTAAAAACCTATTGTAGAAATGAACTCCACAAATTATTTTTATGAAGTCATTTAATCTTTTGGTCTTACCAAATTATTTGAAAACTTTAATTACTTCTTAAGGAAAATAAGTAGTTTAGTTTTGTATTAAATTTTAATCATACAAAGTTACTTTTATAAAATATATAGCTAAGATGATACAATATTTATTAGATTTTACTTTGTCTAAGTGTTGCCTTAATGTTTTAATTTTTTTATAGCTTACTTTTTTATTGTATTGTAACACTTTTGCAAGTTTTTTGTCTCTATTTAGTTACTTATATATAATTTACCTTTATTCCTTAACATGAACAAAGATTATTTGGGTCGTGTAACACCTCAAAATAATAAATCAACTGTCTATAATATGCACAAGTTAAATAAAATATTACCTATTGAATATGTATACTATATATCAACCACTGTACTGTGTTTACAGTATTATTTAACAATAAGAGGATGTTGTTCAAATAATTGGTTTTATTCCAATTTTTAAATTAATCTAAAATAATGTTTTCTTCTTCTTTTTCTTCTTATGACCAACTACTTGGGTCAGCCACCCTCATCCTAAACTTCCACTTGACACGATCTTCCACATCATCTACGATCACATCAGCCGTTTTCCAATCGCATTATATCTCTTCGTTTCTTTGTTGGTTTTTCTCTACCTCTTCTTTCTTCAACATTAATTTCTATAACTGTTCTTACAGCTTCCGATTCTTCTCTCCTCATTACATGACTAAACCATCTAAGTCTATTTTCTCTCATCTTATCCACGATTGACGCTACACCTATACTTCCTCTTATATGCTCGTTCCTTATCCTATCTTCTCTAGTCCTCCACTCATCCAACTAAGCATTCTCATCTGTGCTACACTCATTCTCTGCTCTACTTTTTTGTCAACCGCCCAACACTCTCAACCATACATCATAGCTGGTCTCACTATAGTCTTATAGAATTTACTTTCCAGGCTCATTAGAATTATTTTACCGAATGACATACCAGACGCTTTTCTCTACTTCAAACACCCGCACTTAATCCTGTGTCTTACATCCACGCCAATCCCACCGCTCTTTTACATACTGATCCTAAATACTTAAAACTTACCACCTCTTCTATCACGTCCTCGCCTATTGTTACTGAACTCCTCATTTCACCTACCTCGTGTTCTCCTTTGTCAACTCGTACTCTATTTACTATGTCTTACTCCTACTTATTATAAGCTAAAATAATGTTTTAAATATAAAAATAAAACTCGAATAGTGGTCTTTTTAGCTTCGATTCGAAGCTGAGAAGGTATTAATTTCACTATGATGATCGACTATGATCGGACTATATTTTGTTTTCATGGTGATCGTGTTTTCATTGATTCTTTCATGGATCGTAGCACAGTGTAAGTGTGGCATAGTTGAGACTAGTATAGATGATATCTCACAGTGATTAAAATCACTATCATAAGAAACGCTTCGATGCAAATTTGTAGTTAGTGTTTAATTTTAAGAATTTAATGGATTATTCAAAAGCAAAATTCTAACTCAAAAAGAACGAAAGAAAAATTGCAAAAGAATCATGGCCACAGGCAATATTTTAAATTTTATAATGCTATAACTTTTTGAAAAATGGATTAATACAATTTTTTTATGATATATACTACTTATAAATCTCTTTCATTCAACATATTTTTTTTAAAATAAAACCATTTCCCTTTATATATTTATATATTATAAATATATTACACTTATAAATCATAAAACTTGTAATCAGGATATAAATAAGGAAATAGGAGATTATGTTTTTTTGGAATAATCCACCAATTTTTTAAAATTAATCACTACAGATTTGCATCGAAGCGTTTTTTATGATAGTGATTTTAATCACTGTCAGATTAAATCGATACTGGACCTAACTATGCCACGTCTCCACTGTGCTGCTATTTTATGAGAATTCTACTAACTTTAAAGCAAAATCATAGGCACACTATCATAAATTTACTTATTCATGGATATACTAATATGATAACATATAAATAAGATATTAATCAATGAATAGTATAAATCAATTCAATAATTTAATTAAAAGCATTAGTTATTAAAGTTTTTAATTCTTTACTAAATGGGTCACATTGGCCAGTCAAACTATAATTTAGATGTTTTTTTTTTAATTCTAAACTGAGTGACCAATTGTAATTTGTAAAGTATTTGTGACTTTTTCTTTGCAATCAATCGAATAATCTAGTAACAAATTTCATACTCCAAATCTAATTAAAAAATTGTTCTAATCATCAAAAAATACATAAGGTTCCTAATATTTTTTCTTAACTCACAAATAACTGCTCGAAAAATCTTTACGTAAATTGTTTTAACTTTTAGTTAACATGACCTTACGCATCATCTACGCATACGTCATCATCTATTAAAGGCAATTTCTTGTTGTTGAACCCACTTCTCTCGTTTGACACCAAATTCTTCTATGAAACAAAAGACGCACAGTTCATGAGTTCCAGGATATTTTCAAAATATTGCTTCCTTTGGCGTTCTTTTGGTTTCTTCCCAGTTTTTTTCCTTCGAAAATGTTGATTATTAAGTTATTGTGTCGAACGATGTGTGCGATGACATTTTTTTTCTTGATTAAATCACCTTCACTAGCTATAAATGGTCTTTTACCAAATATTGTAAAAAATAAGAAGTTTATATTTTTGAAAATTTCACAAAATTATCTAGAATAAAATTTTTGTGACTGCTAACTTATTTCCCCTACATTTTTCTTATACATAATATATCTTATTTTACCTTTTTTTTTGTGAGAGACTTGGTCTTTCAAGCTTCACTCGTTACGCCTATGATAATAATTAACACCTGATATTTAATAAATTGATTACTTAGTAATCAAAAATACTTTTTCTGCAACTTTTACTAATTTTACTATTTATAGTCAATAATTTATTGCAAAATGAGTAGACTTACAAAACTCGATTAAAATTAAGTAAATTTAATTTTGTTTTAATAAAATAATTTTAATATAAATTTTGGAGGTGATTTCCCACTCAAAATCACCAGAGGCTTACTATTTAGTACAATAAGATCATTTGGGTAAACATGAAATAAAATGTATTTTCTACGCGAGTACTCTTTGGGAACCTCCGAGCTACTGTTTTAAATATAAATATTTAGTTTTCAAGGTTACTTAATTTCAGTTGAAGTTTAAAAATTTTATACATACGTGGGTCTTTTATTAGTATTGTACTACATGAACTCGTATGTTAGCTCAGTCTATGAAATATTTACATTTATAATTGGAAATATTTACCTAGCCAAGTTAGCCACGCTATGACCGCTGGCGAAATGGTGCCCTCGGGTAGGAACGGGTTTATCAAGTAGACGACAAAAAAGAACAACCAGCAAGCTATAAACCCTCCGACCACAATAGACAGAGTTTGAGCAGTTTTGTTTTCGCGCTTCAATGACACGCGACAGTCGTCTCCTCTGCGCAAGCTTTTGGTAAAAATACAATGAATAGATATATGATCATATTAATGTGAAAACGAATTGTGAACACTTGCTTAACGTACTTGATTCGTACAACCTCGTCCATGTCCATTGAATCTTGACTGTAGTGCGATATCTAAAGAAAAATTATAATTAATAAAAATAAACTAAAAAAACCATCAGACGATTTGTAAGTATAAAATATAGAATTATAACAAGTTGATATCTGATCTGATAAGCACATTAAAATATATATTCACATAATATATTTCACTTGTATAATTTTTGAAATATACAAAAATATTGTTTTAATTTTTATAATTTACTTAGAAAATATCTATTAGCAGGACTAATAATTTTGGGATATCTCTCATATTCTAATTAACTGATATACTATAGCAGTTGTTTAACATTAATTCTAGTTCATTTGTAACATTAAATTTATCAGAATACCATAACACTAAAACGTAAAAATACTAAAGGTTTTTTAGTGCTATTTAAAAAATTTGTTTATAATAATTATAAATAATTATGGCTATTGACAATATCATATATTCAATACATGTATAAATATTAAATAAAATTTCAAATATTTAATACTGATAATTTTTTTAACTTGTTAGAATTAAGTTATTTAAAAAAAGTTAGTGTGTAAATTTTAATAGGTTAATCCATTATTATTATACAACAAAATCAAATATTTTATCAAAAAAAAAAAAAAAATTATGGCGTTATTTTATGCCATCAATTTTACCTTTTAAACAATTATTTATTTTTTAATTTTTCTAGTCAAAATTATGTCATGGGTATTCATAAGGATAAACCGCTTATTTTGGCAATTTTTTTTTTTTTGGAGAAATACATATATGACATCTATTTTAAGTGTTTTTGGAGTAAAAAATCTCTTTTATTTCATGAGATAATGTAGTATTAAAAATCATATTTCTATTGTTAGCTATACAAGAATGGTGTATTCTTTTCATTTTCTAAATAATTTCGAATATATTTCGAGATAGTATAACTAGTTTAGTTAATGAAGAAGCTCACATAAGTGACACTATCAATATAAATGGAAATTTTATCTCTTTACAATTAAATTTGAATAATTTTATTTTATTATATATAAAATGTACTATACAAATACCATTGATCATAGGTCAATCTATACTCAATGCAAATATTTATTAATAATTAAATTTTAGGTGAATTCTTGTAACAAAGTACAACCGCCGCATTTTCTGTTTGGTGTACACAAACTAAACAAAGGGAAAATATAAAAAAGAATTCACGCTAACACAGTGAAGCAGACGCGAGTGAGCATACAATTTACTGAGCATAAGTAGAAATCTGAATCACTGAACAAATAGAAGACATGAGTACTAACAGTGTCATGTAGTACAAATACTGCATGACATACGCCACCATTCAGTTGCAGCCGTTGCTGAACAATCAGTCTTGGTTCACTGATCATCACCGCTTGTGCCGATCGTCGTTCATTACCGTTACCGCCACTGTCCGATATCCCTGTACAAGTCCGTCATCTCCACCGCTATCTGCGCCACTTTTAGCAGCGTTGTGACGTTGAGATCACCGCTATAGCGGAAAACGTTGTCAACCATTGCCGGAACAGTAGTCATCTTCTCGAACCCCTGACCCATTTATATGAGTTGCAGTATTATTAACCCACGTGCGTGTGTTTCAGTGTGTCCGAATATGCGTGTTGTGATAAATAGGTGGTGCTCATGAAGGTAACCATAAGGGGGATCTCTTCGCGCATAACTCACGACAGAGTCCATATGCGAACGGTCTGTCAAGACCAGTTAGCGAACCCAAACGCATCGCCACCGTCAAATCAAAGAACGGCGATAAGACACGGGCCGCCATGCCATGCCAACCGTGGGCTCTGCGTCAGTGAATATCTGACATCCGTCAGAAAAACGTCCCACACATTGTATTCATTCCAGTGCCGGACGTGTGTTATGAAAATATTCATAAATGTGTAAATAGTATTTTTGTACATAGTTTTTATTGTTATATTTAACGTAAAATAATGCTTGTGTATTTATGATATTCAATATAAATAAAGTTAACCGCATCCTTCTTTATTGATTTCAGTAATTTTTGTTTTAATCTAAATACATTTTAAACAAAATTATAGAGAATTTCACAGTTGTGCGACAGTTACGAAAAAATTATTCTTCATCTAAAAACAAACAAGAGATCTAGTTTTGTAAGTAACTTGCACACTATACGTATATTACTAAAATTAAGTTACTTATTACTTGTTTCAGTATAGAACATATAAATTATATTAATAATGAAAGTTTCTTAACTTTTGTTAGTTAAATAATTTAACCTAATTCTTAGGTGTATTATTTGCTAAGAGAAACTCGATGAATGGTAAAATGTTTAAAATAGATAATTCAAATTCATATAACTGTTACAAAGGTCTACAAATGTAAGACTTAAAATTCTAGGCAAAATATTGGAATATATGTATTATAATGAAAAAGCCAAATATGTTTTTCTAATTGTTTATGAAAAAAATGTTTAAAGTTATAAGCCACACAACTGTTATAGATATATCAAGGATATAGAATATTTTTTAACATAGTGTATTTCTCGGTGTAATTAAGAAAAATATTTCAAAATGATGACTTAGCTGTATTACTATTTTACTTACTTTTCGAAAGTATAATTATTAAAAACTGTCGATTTAGATTTGTATCTCAAAGATATCTCTGTAGACATCGATTCAAGAACATTTTTTAAATAAAAGATCTTTTCAACTTAAAAAAGAAAGTATAGATTAACAATGAAATGAAATGTGATTGGTACCTTAAAAATAAAATCACTTATGAACGATAATATACATACAATATATATAGAAGATAATTCTTTTAACACTAGTCACCTGATTTTTTCTTAAAATAATAATAATATTTTCTTGACAAATTATTAAATCAAGAAATATTTTTTTTTGGTATATCTTAATTTTATATATTTCTTAATTTATCAGTTATTAATCACTTACTTCATAAAAGCGTTATTTTTTATGTGGTAACATACATATTTAACTATCTTTTAAAAATAAAATGATCTAATTACAAAAATGACGTTAACAACTTTTGAATCAGTATTTCGAAATTTATTAACACTTTTATACCTACACTGAAAAAAATCTTAGTAAAATCAACAATTTTTTTTTTAATTTACAGCCAAAAATGATTGTTAGAATTAAAAATTTGTCAATCAAACAAATGTTTTATTCCAATAACAATAAAATGATTAATATAATAATAATAAAAATTTTGGCTATATTTTTTTTCAGTGTAGGCAAAAGGAAAGGTACAATCAAAAAATGACTAATAATTAATATTGTCATAGTCACTCTTCATCTCCTGTTTACATTATATTATATTATATATATATACAGAGTGATTCATTTATTGCGAAAGATTTAAAAAACAAAAAATATATATAGTTTTCAGTAAGTAAGGAAACTGTTTTTTTTTCATTATTTTATAACAATTGATATGTTTCCTTACTTACCGAACATTCTACATATTTTTTTGGTTTTTTTTAATATATGTTTTTTTCAATTTATCACTCATGAAGTAAATGTTATGTTCTTTCTTTATACCTTATAAGGGTATTATAACTTTATTTACTCAAATGACATAATTAACTGGCTTATTTAATAGATAATGACTAAGTCATTGATTAAATTTTAATCAGTGTGTAACGTAATAAAATGATCATGAGTATAAGGTCACAGGTAACTGTATTCAAATAGTGCGAGTCATACATCTGTGGGATCAATGTTACACATACACACATAATTATTTTTTAAATTGATACATTTTTCCTATCATTTGTGATCCTCATCCTAAATATCACACCAATGTCAACGGTCACACTGTCAAGTACCCTCTCTGGTGTGTGATCAAGTCGACATAAAAAAAAATCACGATTATGTTCAAAAATCATCAGCTCTCATCATCATCACTCTATTCTTCGTCATCTACACATCTGTTGACAGAACCTCATGTTGTCAATTTTGAGTTTTTCTGTTGCCGTCAACTTCATGATGGAGTAGTGCTTTTCATTCTGGCTAGGCCATGATCATGGTAAATCATCATGATATAATGTCGTAGAACTCTGTATTTTTTTGTTCCACGAGTTGACAGTATTCTCGGGTGCGGTCAGGGTGGACATGGTGATCATCTTATTGGGTCCTCTACATTTATGTAGAGGTTACCCATTGACGTTGATGACATGTCCACTATACCCTAACACATGCGACGGATCTGTCATGCTCATGTTTCCCCTTTATTCTATTCTAATTTTCAGTTGTTTAATAATAATATACAGTTAATTTTCATTAAATTATAGCTGTGGTCTAATTAAGACAAATAAAACACTTATCCATATATTTAACTATTATGTGTTGTTGTTCTAATAAATTAGGCAATATCAGGGCCGTTACGATTCTCTAAACACATTACTTTATACTATAAACATAAAGAATAAGACTTTGTTACTCTAATTATATAAGTTAAAATTCAATTTCCACCTTGAGAGTATGACTATTAATTAAGAAAAAGAAAAAACAATGTACACTCTTGATATTAATTGGGATGGCCTTAGAATAAACTTCCATAATTCTCTTAACTTTCTTTTCATCATTTATCCTTACATATATATATATATATATATATATATATAATATGTATATATATGTTTAGCTTTTATTTTACTCAAAATTTGGATAAACATTTTTTACATTATAAATAGTTTATTATGCTTAATAAAACTTAATAGATGCATTTTATTCCATGAATTGTACTTTTTATTATATTATTTTGTTTATTTAAATTAATTTATTTCAATCTTAACTTTATTGGTTTTATAGTTTATTATTATATTTAGTTATGTTTATCACAAAATTAATTAAAACTGTTTTCTTTTATAACCTTTCCCCTTTAGATAAGGTACCAAAATCCCTGGTGTTCCGGCTTGGCCTCGACCCAAGGTGACCCTCCTCTGGGTCCTTGTAAAGTGAAGCTGATTGATATTAGTTGAGCTTATAAGTGATTGGAAAGAACTCCGTTTATGACGCACTTTCATATTTGACAACGTTATTCATATATTAAAAATAGATGCAAATAAAATTTATACTTTTGATGAGATTAAACGGTTTTAGGGCCATTCATATATATGAAAATAATATTATATTTTCTATTAACTCATGACGTATTGTCATAATGAAATTGTATAGAAAATAAAATTAAGTAATAAAATATACCCGTTATAATATAACGGATATATTTAAAGCGCTAAGATTTTTTAAAATATAGGAACAACACGCAAAACATTAGTGCATTGTTTACCTGCTGCAACTTAAAAATTACTCAGTATCAATGAGCAAATCTAATTGTAGAATAATCTTTTTGTATATTTATAATTATTTTCATTAATTGATAATAGATTAAAATAAAAAACATGCATACTCTAATATTTATTTTGACGAAAAAAACTAATGTGACAATAATTTGAAAAATATTAAGCGTATATAATAAATTCACTATTTATGTATCTAGTACATTCTATAATATTACATTCTAAGGTATGCACGGGCATAATTAAGATTTTGGCGTATAGACCTCTACAGAACAAAAATATTTACACGATAAAGATAAAACAATTTTTTTTTTTTGGGGTAGTGAAAGATTTTAGCAGTTATGAAATAGCACAGTGGATTATTAAGCGCCACCTTAGCGCTTATGTTGTACTATTTTCTGTTAGTTCCTAACCCATTTTGTTAATATAACAGTAACACATGCCTTGCCCCCTCACAGATTCTTTCTGCCATAATGTGGTTGCGTCAGGTCCACAGCTGATGTAAAATGCTGTCAAATCAGTAAGGCAGATCCGACACCAAATTGTTAGGGTAGAAGCTAAAGAGTTGGGGATGAGGCTAATGTAAAATTTACTTATTTATATTTCATTTATATATAATAATATATTTTATAACAAACCACGATTATACCACTGAAAGACTTTTATATTTGTTTTTGTAGAAATATCAATTTGTCCCAATTAAATCGTTTATGTAATGGATAATTATATAGACGTAGGTAAACTATTCATAAATAAAAAAAAAATTTAATTAAGATGTACGTGTTCATTTGACAAAAATAAATTTGAAAACGTAAGAGTCAATTTTTTAGTAAACATTTCGATCTTTTCTATTAATTGTATCACACAAAATAATGGCTCTATTGTTGACTTACAAAATCCAAACTGGTTTTTAGATATCGATGTCTCATTTCTTATCCATTACTTTTTTCCAAATCTTCATTCTATGATTAAGAAGCTTTATATCTCTAATTTCCACACTCCTGTATGTCCACCTTACCTTTAAATATTGGCATCATAATACTATTCCTCCATTTTTTTGACGTTTTCCCTTCTAATGGGATTTTATTATAGAATTGATTTTATTGTGAAAAAAGATCTCTCTCTACCTTTTTTTCACATCATCACTCGTTAGCACTCTCTTATTATCACTTTTATACATCTTACATTGTGATAATCTTTAGACCGTGTTTCTCTTACTTTTGCATGTTTATAGACTTCTTTTTCACGTTCCATTGTTCCTAATTTATCATACAATACATCATACCTCTTAAACATTGCCCTAATTACCGCATATTTGACTTCATTGCTCCAGCGTTTATACTCCATCCAATCTTCTTTCCTTTTACTTTTCTGCCATGCTTTGAACTGTCTCTCTTACTCTACGATTTTCTGAACGTCTTCATTCTATCACTATGTTTCCTTGTTTCCTGGCATTTTACTCATATTTTCACCGACAATCTCTTTTGCAGTATTCTTTACACAACTAGCAAATCTATTCCATACATCATTTATGTCTCCTTCGACATTCCATATCACCTCTCTTACCGTTTTTAAAAACTCTTTTTTCCCCTTTCAGTTTACATCAAAAATCCTCTATTCTCCTCCTGTATTCTTTCTGTTTTTGTGTACTCTCTTTCCACTACACTACAAATTATTTACCTTTAGTCTATGTTAGGAAGTTACACCATCGCCTCGGATAATTTTACAATCTTTTACTCGCATTACAATTTCTCTTTTTTCCACATAAAATATTATAAAATACTATAAATGTTATAGCAGTGCCTGGAGGTGAGACGCTGGTGTTATTATTTTTTTCACTAGACGTTTATCGCACTTTTCCTTCCGCCTAGATATAAAATTTTTAAAAACTCTGTACCACTGTGTATATAGAGTTGAGTTACGTAGATTAGAAAAATTCAACTTTTAATTCAATTATCATTCGTTTGAATAATTTTTTTTAATATTTATCTTAAGAATACTGATGTATATAATTTAAATATTTTAATTTGTTGGTAAAAATCAATTAGCGTATATATCTAAGAAACTAATTGCTAAATAGATTGAGTTTTGGTATATAATTATTTATCAACAAATTTTTATTATTATTCTTATTAATTAAACTTATAATTTTTTAGGGGATTTCTTTACATAAAACCCGTTGGGCATTATCATACAAAGATTTAATTAGATTATGCAATTTTAGTTTCAAATCTAATGTATTGTTTAAAGTAGCTAAATACAAATATGGGGATAACATCAGCCAATCAAAATATATTATAAGTCTTGAGGCTATGTTGAAATTAATATTATCCGGCTAAGGTTACTATGCAAAGTGTTGAATTTATCGTTTGCCACTTAATTTATTCTAAAATAATAATTTCGTAAAAAAAAATTATATAGTATTAGCGTTAGGAAAGAACACAATGTTAATTTTAATGAGAAAAAGTATTCAACTAAATAATAAAACATTAAAAATAACTAAAAACGGATACTTGATTTGATCTTTTAATATAATTGAAAATAGTATTAATAAAAACCCAGCACAGGGGGATCGCGGCACAGTGGTGACGTGGCATAGTTGGATCAAGTATTATGATATCTGACAGTGATTAAAATCACTATCAAAAAAAACGCTTCAATGCAAATCTTTAGATAGTGTTTAATTTTAAAAAATTGGTGTTTTATTCAAAAAGCTACATGATCTGCTAGTTTCTTATTAATATCCTGATTAAAATAAAGTATGTCGAATGAAAAAGGGATTATTAAAAAATATTATTTCTCATAAAAAAATTGTGTTGATCCATACACTTTTCAATAAGTTATAGCATTATAAAATTAAAAATGTAAAAATAAAATAGAGAATTTTCACACAAAAATAGCATTCGATAGCCATTTTTACCTTGAAGATAAAATAAAGTCCGAAATTTTTTTTTGCATAATAAAGAACATTACATTAGCTTTAATTTAAGATATATATAAAAGTGTCAGACCTTCCGGAACATTTTAAAAAGTTAAGTTGAAAAAGTTAATTTTTTGTGAAAAAGTAGTCATTTTAAATCCCCCTTTATGGGCAGGTTAAGGGTTAAATTTATGAAAAAAATATACCAAATGAAAGGTAATGATATTATGCGTCTATATAAAAAATAATTATATTGATATGTTTATTTTTGAAAAAGTTATGGCACATTTTAGTAAAAAAAATTGAAAAAATTTCGAAAATTAGCGATTTTTAAATTTGTAATTTTTTTGGAGGTTTCCCCCTTTTACGGGGAACGAGGGAATTTTTTTCAATTTTTAAGGGTAATGTCTTCGACTAGATACGATTTGTGATCTTTTGACGTATC